CGTCGGGTGAGGCGGAGCCTGTCTTCAGCCGTCGGGCGAGGCGGAGCCTATCCTCAGCCGTCGGGCGAGAAGGGACCTGCCCTCGGAGGTCGGGCGAGGCTGAGCCCTTAGCCGTCGGGCGAGGCAGAGCCTAGCCCTCGGAGGTCAGGCGAGGCGGAACCAGTCTTCCATCGTTCGGGCAAGAAGCGCAGTAGCATTCTCATCTGATTAGAAGTGTCAATGTTTGATGGTTATTAGTTCCACCTCCTTAGGCACCCCGGTATTAGGTCCTCGACAGTAGCCCCTGAGCCCCCGGGTGATTCGGGCATAATCGCCCGGGGGGTGTTTCGGTTCGCCAAAGGGTGCGCGCGAGCACACCCGATTGGTGTAGCCCCCGGGTGATTCGAGTAGAATCGCTGGGGGGTGTTTTGGTTCGCCAGAGGGTGCGCGCGAGCGCACCCGATGGGTGTAGCTCCCGAGCCCTCAGGTGATTCGGGCAGAATAGCCCGGGGGGGTTTCGGTTTGCAAGAGGGTGCGCGCGAGCGCACCTGATGGGTGTAGCCCCTGAGCCCCCGGGTGATTCGGGCAGAATCACCCGGGGGTGTTTCGGACCCTTCGCGGGTAAGGCTATGAGACTCGGTTTTTGTCAACTGGATAGCTTTAAGGGAACCCTGGTATCCCGTTCGTGGGGATTTCGTCCAGGGTCAGCCTGGCTGGGGACGGCCTCGGAACCGTACACCATGAAGAAAGGCGTGTAGCCGGTGGCCTGGCTAGGAGTTGTCCTCAGGCTCCAGAGCACCGTAGGGAGCTCGGCGACCCAGCGTGCGCTGAACTTGTTCAACCGGTTGAAGATCCTAGGCTTAAGGCCCTAAAGGAGCATGCCATTTGCGTGCTCGACCTACCCGTTCGTTCGGGGGTGCGCGATGGCGGACCAATCGACCCGGATGTGTTGTTCATCGCTGAATCGAATGAATTTTTTGCTGGTGAACTGTGTACCGTTGTCGGTGATGATGGAGTTCGGCACTCCAAACCGATGGATGATGTCAAGAAAAAACAACACATCTTGCTCGGATTTGATCACAGAGATTGGCCGAGCTTCGATCCATTTTGTGAACTTGTCTATGGTGACAAGCAAGTGGGTGAAGCCCCCGGACGCCTTTTTGAGAGGCCCAACCAGGTCGAGCCCCCAGACCACGAAGGGCCACGTGATGGGGATCATCTGGAGTGCCTGGGCCGGGAGGTGAGTCTACCGAGCGTAGTACTGACACCCTTCGCAGGTGCGTACGATTTGCTCGGCGTCGGCTACTACAGTGAGCCAGTAGAAGCCCTATCGGAATGTGTTACCAACTAAGGTTCTTGGCGCGGCATGGTAACCACAGACCCCACCATGGATGTCACTCAGCAGAAGTCTTCCCTGTTCGATGGGGATACATAGCTGCAGGATCCCAGTGTGGCTCTGTTTGTAGAGTTCACCCTCTACAAGGACGAAGGACTTGGCGCGACGTGTGAGCCATCGTGCTTCCGTCTTGTCCGTCGGTAACGTGTCATGAAGGAGGTAGTCGAGGTAGACTGTTCTCCAGTCGTCCAGAGGGTCAGGCTCTGTCACTGGATCCTCTTCCAGCTCCATGACCTCGGGGCCGGATGGAGCCATCGGTTGGTCAGCCCCCGGTGCTGGATCAGATGGGCCATCATTGGCCCACTCTGACTCTTCGTAGCGCACCGAGGGTTTGTTTTGGTCACTGGCGAAGACGCCCGTTGGCACCGGTTCTCGACCGGACGCCGCCTTCACGAGTGCGTCGGCCGCCTCGTTGAGGCGCCTTTGGATGTGATTGAGTTCGAGGCTGTCGAACTTGTCCTCCAGCCGTCGGACTTCTTGGCAGTATGCAGCCATCTTGGCATCGTGGCAGCTTCACTCCTTCATGACTTGGTTAACGACCAGCTGATAGTCACCCCAAATGTCGAGGCACTAGGTGATCGAGTTGCAAGCCGGTGGTGCTTGTTACTATTGGAGGTTGCCACCTCCTAGACGGCTTGGTGGTGTCTCCGTCGAAGCTCGCAAGAAGCTTGTGCGATGCTCCGGAGAAGAGCTTTGTGAGGGACATTGTGCTCGCCCCGCGGGAGCCGCGAAGAGCAACTCTAGTTGAGCATGTCATTGAGCTACCCTCACTTTCGAGGTAGGTTCTTGCGGTGCCCGACGTGCGGGCTTGGCGGGTGATGCCAATTAGCCGCCGAACCACCAAGTGAGCGGTTGACACAACGGGGACGTAGCGTGTTGGCAAACACGTGAACCTCGGGAGAAAATCACCGTATCAACATTGTTCTTCCCATTGGTTTGCAATCCCCTTACACAAGCTTATATTTACTTTCACATATATCTTGCTTGTGTAGTTACTCTTATAATTAGTTCGCTTGTGTAGCTCACTAGTTACCTTCTTGCTTGTGTAGCACAGAAGTAGCTCCCTTGCGTGGCTAATTTGGTTTGTGTAACCGTGTTAGTCACATTGCTTAGTTTGTGTAGCTAAGTATTTGCGCTCTCTAATTTGGCATCAGTTGCCTTGTTATTGAGCATTACTAGTGAGCTTAGTTGGCTTTGTGCTTTTGCTTACTAGCATGTGTAGGAGCTCCCTCATTGCTTAAAATACTAAGTGGCATAGATTTGTGTGACCTTGCACCTAGAATTGGATAGGTGAGTTCTAGCTAGTCCGGCACATTTGTTGGTTAATTAGGATCTTTGCAAGGTGCTAGAGAATATAGATAGAGGGATGTAGTCTTGACTAAACCGATTATTTTAATTCCGCACTTGTTTCTGTTAGCCTGCGTGATTAGTTTTTAGTAACGACTATTCACCCCCCTCTAGTCACCATCTCGACCTTACACTAGCTCTCAAGGAAGCTTTCCTTGACCGTCAACCGCCAAGAAAAATATGGACATACACTAGATTGCCAAGACGATAAGAAAATGAGTCGGCGGTCAAGGAAATTCATTTTCTTGGGGGTGACTAACCGCCAAGGAAATATGTCAACCACTAAGAAAATATGTCAAAAAAAGTTCAAAAATCTCAAAACCCTGCAGCTACTAAGTTTCGAACTCATCACAACCTAAACCTTCACATAATTACTTCCTTATCACTGCACCTCGAAATCATTTGTAACTGAATAGCTAATGCGATGCTTTTGTATTTAGTCTAGTGAACTTTGTAATGTATATTTGACACCCTAAATTAATTCAAATAAAAAAATTGAACGGGAAAGTTTTAGATCTTTGAGTACTATAACTTTGGTTTAGGTCATTTCTCCATCCAAAATCATTTCAAAAAGTCATAAAAATATTGATTTTTTAAAAAAATGTTTTGCTTGATGGTTTTGCAACAGCACTCAAGGAAATGGTGTTTTCCTTGGCGGTTCACAACAACACTCAAAAAAAGTTGCATATTTCCTTGGAGGCCAAGTGGAACCGCTAAGGATGCACATTTCCTTGACGGTTTACTACAACCCCCAAGGAAATGATAAATTCCTTGGCGTTTGGATTTTGGCGCTCAATGAAATCCTGGACCCCTGAGGAATTCTATTTTGGTGTAGTGTATAGAGGGGGTGGTCTTATCTCAGTAGAAAACAAGTCCAAATCGTAATCTCCACGTTTCCTACGGCAGCAACGTGTCCAAAAAACCGATTTGGAAAGTGATCGGTTTGAACTCAGCAGGGAAAGCGGTCTAGCCGGGTCCCAAACTGGCCAGCCAATTTTGTTGGGCCAGAGGAGATCAGCAGGGCACACAGTGAAACCGGTCAGGCCGGTTTTGTCGGGGGCTTGACCGGTTTGGCAAGGTGAGTGTCTCCCTTTTTCATTATTTTGCCTCCGAGCTCCAAATGCAATGCTCCAATATATTTTCCATGATTATTTTATTACCAGAAACATGGTCACAAGATCTTTCACGCCTTGGTCATTTTTTATCACCAACATATGATCCCCTGTTTTTAGGCGAGGTTTATACAAACCTAAAAACACAAAAGCACTAAAATAGCAACAATGTCTAACTCATCGATCGGCTATCACACCCGGTTTTAAGGACAAAACCGAATGCACAACACATGTATGCCAGGATCAGTTTATTCATACATTCAACGATAATATAGTAATACATTGCAGTGTTTATTACATAAGCGATAACTTTATTACAAAATGGTCAGAGGGTCTAAAACAAAATTACACAGATGACTATAGCGGAGTAGAGTCTTCCATTATCTACAGGCAGCCGATCGGGGTACACCAGCCTTGCTCAAGCACTGCCCTCGCGAAGCTGCGTCTTCAAGTTCTAATAGCTGGGTGGGGTAGGAGGGGGACAAAAGGGAAGGATGAGTATATCAAAATATACTCCGCAAGTGTAGGAAAGTATGACATGGGGCTTAAATACAAGGAAACGCTTATGAGGTTTTGACACTGGTGCTTAAACGACACATCCTAGTTACCTTAAATCATTAGTACCTATTTACTAGGTGAAAACCGCAATCTCCTCATAGAACCAAACCACACCAACACTTAGATTTCATCCCAGATCTCATTTGAACCAACCACAAGGTCCACGCATATGTATTAGTCCTCACGAAGCACGCATAGAAGCCATCTTCCGTTCCCATGTCACCATGAGACTAATATCCATACGAGGATTCCCAAAGATCCTTTAATCACAAAGAAGTTTAGGCCGCTATTGACCATGAGCACAGTTGATATATCAGTTTTACACTCTGCAAAGGTTGCACCCTTTCACCACGAATCATGTTTCTTCATCACACTAAACACTGCCCAGATGCTCAGCGGGGTCACACTCTAAGGCCTTTACAAAGCTGTGGTTCCTAACTCTATGTATTTCCTAAGGATTCGCCGATTTAGGCTCGTGCCATGCTTGCTAATTAATCAGCCGAATGTAAACATATTTTCATTCGGTTATTTATTACTACTATTATATCTTTGATTGAAGGAGAGTGCAGGTCGTGTAAACTTATTTTCATACGGAATACGTTGTAAGACTAGGGCCGCATAGCTTTGAGTATCGGCGGGTCAGCGTAGGGCCCGTAGAGCCACCCCTCGGCGACGTATCGGTTGACGGCCTCCGTGAAGTGCACCCCGTCCCAGTTTACGTACGCCGACGGGTTGGCGCAGGCAGCCACCCCCGGCATCCCGCACACGGCGCTGGCGTTCCAGTTGTAGGCGCCGCCGGTACCGCAGCACGCCTTGAGAACGTCACTCACCACACCTGCACGTACGTCACAGAATCAATTATTTCACACGACGAGTTCATCAGTGGCCGCAGGAGGTCAAGTGTGTGCACGAATTCTTCACCGAAGCTGAGACTACTTCAAGTAGTCTTACCGAATTGGCTGGGGTTTTCGAGGATTTGCCGGACCGGGGTGTAGAAGTCGGCGAAGATGATGGTGGCCTTGGGGTGCTTCGCCCTGAGCCCGCCCACGGCCGCGTGGAGCAGCGCGTTGTGGTGCCTGGCCACGTCGTTGACGCCGCGCAGGCAGCCGATGCGGTCGTAGTCCGCCGCCGCGCTGGGGCTCCTCGGCCGGAGCAGGGTGAGGAGCGCGGGCGAGCACCCGATCGGCGGGTTCCCCGGCACCACCACGTGCGCCGCGCCGTCACGGACGATGAGCCTCTGTCACGGTCACGGTCACGCATCAAAGCTCTCGCTCCATTATCACTCGATCGACGCGGAGAAGGAATGTGCGTGCTAGCTGGTACCTACCTCGACGGCCGAGGCGATGGTTCTCACAACTTTCGGCACGAACGCCATCACTTGGGATTTGGTCTTGTTCGCCATCAGATGAAAGGTGTAGTCGTTCACTCCAAACTCCCCGACGACGAAGAGCGATTTGCTGAAACATTCCCCACAAGACCCTGCAGCAATCGTCGATCAGTTTCTATCAATGCAGCCTCCTGCCTCTCATACTAGTATTACAAATATTTAGAGCGCGTGGCAGCATGCATACTTTCCGTGGTGTTGCAAATGGACGGCCTGAGGTCCTCGAACCAGCCCAGCTGCACGTCCAGCGAGTTGTTCAGTAGCTTGAACGGTACCAGCTTGTTCCTCTCGAAGAAGCCCACGTCGATCGCCGTCGCGCCGCCCACGGCGAAGTTGACGCCCCGCGAGACGTCCGAGCTGTTGGCAAGCGAAGCCGGGAGGAACGGGAGCCCAAACGCCTTGGCTAAAAGAACAAACCGTCAGCGTACAAATTTCAATTCAGGTAACTATTTGCGCACGCATTTAACCATTTAATTTACCCATGAAATCTATGATGGCCCTTCCGTCGCTGGTGCGCCCTGTGGGGCGGCCGAAGAAGGTCATGCCGTAGGGAGGCTTGTCGATCCACACCGGGATCACCGGCGCCGCCATGATCACGAAGTTGCCGGTGTCGATGTACGAGTCCCCAAGGGTGAACATGGAGGTGAAGTTGAGGCGTGGCGAGCCTGCAGATGAGCTGCTCACCACGCTTGAGAGACACAATGCCAGGAGGAAGATGACAGGCGTGAGCGCCATGGCTGCTGTGCTGCACCGTGCATTTTTTGGCAAAAAGACTCGCGCGTCGGCGTCGTTGTATTTATCTAAGGAGAGGAGGGGTGAGGGGGTATGTACCTAATAACCTGTTGCGTTCTGGTGCAAGGCATTCAGTTCTCAATTTCTCATCTGGCGTTGACGAAGAGTAGCTATATACTATACGTACAAGAGCACGCAATAATGATCCGTTCTGAATTCCAGACGCAACTGCAACTCAGCGAGGGACTGGTTGACTCTGGTATATATGCCGGCCACCCCACAATCAGTACGGCCTGAGGTCTAATCGTGAACGTACCTATTATTAGATCGTGCTCTCTCGTCTGGACCTTCAAGACTTGATTGCAAATTCCTATTGGCCTTATCCTGAACCGGACTTTGGACCGTATGCAAGAGCACTACTACTGCCTGAATTAACGGCTTGAACGATCTGCGTCTGGTAACATTTTGAGTTTGTGTATCCAACGACCACGTGTTTCAGTAAAAGATAGCACATAGTTGTTTGCTGGCTACAAAACACATAATTTGTAACGGAGAAAAATCCATGTGTTTTAGCACATGTGCTGTTGTTAGTTGCTTGCATAACACATGATTTCCAAGAGAGAAGAAACCATGTGTTTTAGCACAAGGTAGCACACGTTTGTTGCCTACCACAAACAATGGATTTTAAAGAAGACATAATTTCTGTGTAACCAAAGTTGGTCCATTAACTAAAATGACAAAATGGTCCATTTAACCAAAGTTGGCTATATTTCAGGTGCATAAAATCTAGCAACTTTTCAGGCGATGTCTGTGGACCATCAGATCTAGATCCGACGACCATATTCTGTTCTGGTTGTTTCTGTATGCAGGCAATATTAACGGGTCCGCGAATCAAACCCACCAAACCTTACCGGCCCGTCAAAGCTTAACGTGCGGATAAACCGTTAACTGAAGTTAGTGCTCGTTTGGGCTAGAATTGAACTATTGGCCTAGTAAACACACGTACAAGCTTATTGGCAAAATAATAACTCTGCCACTGCAGAAAGAAACTCTGCCACAGATCAAAATTAACTCAGAGCACCCCAACTATTTCAGATGCCGCTAGATTTTGCACAATCTTATATGCAAATTAAGTGTAATACATTATATCGATGAAATTACTACGAAACAAAATATTTACTCACACATAATGATATGTTCTCGGTGAAAAAATGCACGATAATTATGATCTTCAAAAATTACAAAACAAGAACATGAAAATTGCATGTTTCAAATAGTGCAAATACTACATGTTACTAATGTAATTATACTATATATGTATATAAATACATAATCCAGCTCATGAATGTGGAGCCTGCTGACAATACAATTAAACAGCACAGAATGTGTTCATAAAAAAATGACGAACCGGGAGACAACAACAAATATAAGAGAACAATTTAAATACCTCATACTGCAAGATGCCAAAGGTTCACATAATGAGAGAATACAATTTCTAGAAGCACAAAAGATGTAGAAAGAACCTTAACACGAGCCTCCAGTCGCAGTCATATTTGAATGACATCCTAGTTCCTCAACCAAGTACTTGCACACCTCCAGATAGCCCTGGCATGCTGCTCGATCACCATTTCCTATGCCCAGGTTCCTTATGACACCTTACACACAATGACACAAACAAGTTACCACATTGAGAAAGCAGATACCCAACACATGACCGCGCAATCATCAAGAAAAACTAGCAATTACACCCGCTGGCAGATCGTACTAACACACTACTACAACCATTCTTGCATGTGAGTAAACTGCCACAAACACATGCAGCTATTGGAGATCACACTGGTACGCTATTGTAGAGAAATTATCATGAGCAAATATCATACACAAAAAACAGAAAAACTTCTACATAAAATAACAAGGAGTTTAGCTTCTGAGGTGTGTATTATATTGATATGTAAGGACAAGGACAAGGACAAAAATGAGATGTGTGTTTGCACAAATCAAAATTAACAAAGTTCATGAAGTGTTAGCACAAATCACAAGAGATAATTTTTTTTCTATGAAAGGACAAGGACATAAACTTGGCTTGGGCAAGCACAAACCACAATAAACAAAGGAAAAGGTAAGCTAGCACAAATGACAAGGACAAAAAAGAGGTGTGTGTTGCCACAAATCACAATTAACAAAGTTCAAGATGTGTTAGCACAAATCATAAGGAACAATTTTATTCTATGAAATGGCAAGGACAAAAATTTGGTGTGTGCTGGTACAAATCACAATTTTTATCCAAACTAGAATATAGAAGTAGCAATGATGTAACCACTTAAAAACCCTGTGCAAACAGAGAATAATGCAGCAAGCACTACAAGTTTGACACAGAGGAAAAAAAATAGTGCCCAGGTAACCTTACCAATTGATATGGCGGTTGTGCTCCTTTGGTACCTGAAATAAAGTCCCAGGAAATCGCTTATGAGCAGGAAAGTTTCATAACAAGACAAAAGTTCGCAAAAGTTTTTTTGAGCCTCTGCTTGGTATACTTACACATATGAGAGCGAATGCACGAGCTCCTACAGGTCATCTGGTTTGAAGTCTATGTCATCATGCAGGATGTGATCGTAGTCCCCTGGCAAAAAAACATGCACTTAGTTCTATCAATTCACGGAAATAAGGGAAATAATGTCTACCTAGGCTAACTTACAACAGCAGAACCAAGTTTAGTGAAATCTAGATACACACTGAAATGAGGCGACAACAACACAAGCCATAACGAGGCGACAACAGCAGAACCAATTTTTTTATGTTTGCTCTTATATGTATTTCAGGTGTGAAGGCCCTTGGCAGTTTATATCGAAACACAGTTGCTTTTGTGTGGCGTCATAAATGCATGACATTTCTCATTTCAGACCAAACTAATAACAGACCCAAAACGACACAAATTGACAGCAGAGCAAATCCTAAGGCACTAAAATTGCATATGGTTACTAATAGGCAACCCCTGCAAGGAAAATGGACATATTGCATATCCTCAACACAAAAATTGCAGGGCTAGAAACTTGCAATTTACATCATTGCTGATTGCAATTAACTTGGATCTCTACTTCCAGCTAGTGAACATCATCAACAAGAAGAGAAGGGCTAGAATCACCCTTCCACAGTGACAACTTAGCTAATAAGAACTCCAAATGTTTAACTATCCACAATTTCACTATTATGAAGTCCTGTAAGTAGCGGCCTTCGAATACTTTGACCGATTCCCCATTTATTTTTCTAGATAGATTTTTCTTTGACTCAAGATTGGCATTAATGGTTTCAAAATCACATATCATATTCTTCAATAGTTTTGTCACTTCAGTTATGCCACGCTCATTTTCATCCTGCACATGTAACAGATATGAGTTCATCTCCACACATAACAAATAAAGATTTCAATCACTCCTATCCAATGTACTGATGGAGTTTGTGGAATCACCACAATAAGTGTGTCTTCGATGGTGCACATGTTTTAGGAGCCTAGTGTGTTGGAGGTGTGTGTGGTGTTGTAAGGGTTTTTATCCCTTTTTTCTTAATATAATGATATGCAGAAGGCCATGAATAGCATAAGATGGATAGATGACATTAACACAGCACTCACTATCAAGTTCATAGTTGAATATTTACAGATCTGGACATTATTTTCAGAAGCTAAGGGGTGGGGAGGTGGAGGATGGGGGGAGACTTACAATCAACCACGCAATTCCTTTTCCAACCTTGAGATAGAGCTCAATTAAAACCTGCAGACAAGTACTATAGTTAAAAAATGGTACATTAAGAAAAATATAAAACATATGTAAAGAAATATGGCAAAAAGGCATAAGAGAAGAATACAAAACTTACCTTGACTTCACAAGTGGACTGCAACCAGACTCTGATATCTTCTGCTAAAACCTTCAACCTCCTGGTCATCCCACCCAAGCCATCATTTACCTTTCCTCTACTGGCATGACACCAAAAGCAAACACGCAAAATCAGAAAACTTCCTATCACTAAACAACTAAAAGAGAAGGATGATTCCCCACCTCCACTCCAGCCAAAAGCGCATTCCCCGCCAGGAGCAATTTATGAATAGCTAACTGTTCAAAACTAATCCCCTCTTCTAGTAACAAACCATAACTTAAGACTGAAAAGGAAGGTAAAAAATGACCAGGACAATCATAGAGAACAAGCTTTATCTTGCCAGGTGTGTGAGAAACACCAGTCGCCTTCTCATCACCAACTAAAGCATCTAAAGTTGAACTCTTTCCAACACTTGGATAGCCAACAAATCCAACAACTACACGCTTAGCCACTGAAGAAACAGAATCTGAAGAACTGGCTTCCGGATCATCTACAGCAGTTGAGGTCCTTCTCTGAGCTACAATAGATTCTGCCTCAGCTTGCAGCTTCATCAACAGTTCATCTCTGCCATATATCTTGGTATCCAAATCAAGTGAAGCAGATTCTTCTTCAGAGTATCCACTTAACGTTTTGCCTTCTAATGTGGCAGTGGCAGCCTTAGCCGACCAGAACGCATAGAGAATATCATTTGCCTTAAAATAATCAGCCCATCTCTTCCTGCATTAAACAAATGTGCAATGATGTCCCTACTAAGGCAATAAAGGTAGTATAGAATCAAGTCATATGAACAACATGCAGACCTGATATTTAACGGCAACAGATCAGCCTTGTTAACAAGGAGCATTGTTCTCTTGTGTTCGTCAATTTCCATTGCATATGCCTAGTACACAGAAAGCCATGCTAGAAGTCAAAAATAAGGCAGCACAATGACCAACAAAAGACATAAGGTGTGAAATCAGTGTAAATACTATCTTCCAGAATAATCTACATTTCAAGGAAATAAGTCTCAATGCAGAACAAAGAAAAGGGTAAAACCAAGACATCCTAGCTATCAGAGACATGTAGTTTTATTACAATAAACATGGTTATCATTTGCAAGAAGCAAACTGATGTTCAAAGAGAAAAATATCTGGGAAAAGGGCTTCGTTCACTTATTTCTTCATCATTCACAAAGGAAACCAGCTTGCTTCTGCCAGATTAAAAGGAAAGGTAGAAAGCAATATTCTAGTTGGATAGCTATTGCAAAGCAAAGGATAAGAATGAAGATCGCATGAATAAGGCTGCTGGAGCAAATTTAGTAGTACTGTGTAGTTGGGCAGAGTATAACACTGAACAAACAGCAAGTCAGGAAAGTCTCCATAATTTTGGATGGTTTACAAGCTTACACCAAAAAACATGAATGCAATACCTCAAGTTCTGGGCAGCGGGAGAGTAACGGATCTCGTGCATCAACTACCAAAAGCAACTTCATAAAAGAAAAGAAAACAACAGTCAGTGTATCGATGGTTCAGCATGAGAACTCAGACAGAGAGATTTCACTCACGAAATCACAGCCCTTGAGGACTTTCCAGAGCTGCTTCCAGGTGTCAAAGCAGGTGTCAATGTTCTTCCAAGAGGGTGTAGGCAAATTTTGACAAGTCTCGTCAAATCTGCAAAAAGAATGTTGTCATGAGCTCATAATTAATAGACTTCATACCCAAAGCATTTAATTGACAAAGTAGCGATGGTATGTATGAAGCACTATATGTCAGATTTCACAATATACTTACACACTGTTCAACTTAAACAACAGGAACATGAGGTTGTCACAAATTCAGAGAAAATCTGGAAATTATTGCAAAAACTAACCTGGGTAAGCTGAATTCGTGCTGATGCGTGCCCATCTCATTGGCTGAAGTAGTTGGACTACATGATATCTGTTCCCAATCTGCCTCAGAGTCTGTTACACCAGGAGGGGGTTCATAGTGTGGGATTTTACCATCAATATAATCCTTCAGTATCTGTTGAGCAGCCTTGAACTCATCCAGCAGACTGGCTTGGCTGACAAGCCCACGAGAAGCACAGTATGCCCGCAACAGCTCAGCAGCAATTGGCGGCCGAGACTGAGGTTCATATGGCTTTAGCTTCGGCAAGGTGATTTTGTAAATCTGCTCAAGGATATCCCTTGGGACACGATCTGCCACCACTTGAATAGCTTCCCGGTACTTTGTCATCCTAGTGATCGGCAGCACACCACATGCCACCATCTCATGCCTTGAGCTTGAAAAGGATGGGAAGACCAGACCAGGGCAATCACACAGAGTGAGCTCTTCAGAGATTATCAGTGTCTGGAAATGTTTTGTCTTGCCAGGTGTGTGAGTAACATCAGTCCTCTTCTCCCCAACCAAAGCATTTATTGTTGAACTCTTTCCAACATTTGGATAACCAACAAATCCAACAACTACATGCTTAGCCACTGAAGAAACAGAATCTGAAGAACTGGCTTCCTGATCATCTACAGAAGCTGAGGTCCTTCTCTGAGTTACAATAGATTCTGCCTCAGCTTGCAGCTTCATCAGCAGTTCATCTCTACCATATATCTTGGTATCCAAATCAAGTGAAGCAGATTCTTCTTCAGAGTATCCACTTAACTTCTTGCCTTCTAATGTGGCAGTGGCAGCCTTAGCCGACCAGAACACAGAGAATATCATGTGCCTTAAAATAATCAGCCCATCTCTTCCTGCATTAAACAAATGTAAAATGATGTCACTGCTAAGGCAATAAAGGTAGTACACAATCAAGTCATATGAACAACATGCAGACCTGATATTTAACGGCAACAGATCAGCCTTGTTAACAAGGAGCATTGTTCTCTTGTGCTCATCAATTTCCTTTGCATATGCCTAGTACACACACAGAAAGCCATGTAACAACTTATACAACTCAAAAAAAAGGAAGGATGCTCACCAACAAAAAAAACATAATGTGCAACATAAAAAGATTGGTGTAAGGCGGTCTCCTAGGAAGGCACAGCAAAGATTCCAGAAAGACATACTTTACATTTCTAGAAAATAAAAATCACAGCAGGTTTACCCTATTGCAGAACAAAACAAAGAGCGATCGATATATGCTTGCTTTGAAAGGAATGTAATTCTGGGGATCATGCCTTTCATTGCAATCTGGAAGCAAATAATATTCGAAGTGACGATATCTAGGAAAGCTCAATTCCAGTTGTTTTTTCATGATACAAAAATGGCTTGTTTCTTCCAGAAATATAGGAAGAGCAGTTTCCAGTCATACAGTTACCGAGTAAAATGGATACAGCAAATGCTAAGACAACTCTGAATAACTTGTGAATAAAGCTTCTGTAACCATTTTGGTTGTGCAACATCTAAGGAATTTTAAGAAGTGACAAGTGGTCATTATCTTGTTTGGTTTAAGAGTTATATACCATTTGGAAGCTATAAAATTTATACCAAAATCAAGAAAAGCAGTACCTCAAGATCAGGGCAGCGGTAAAATAATGGATCTCGAGCATCCACTACCATAACCAACTTCATGGAAGAAAGAAAACGACAGTCAGCAATTTGCACAAGAAAGATGTTACTCTACAATCAGAATAGCACGAACATGACGGAGCACAGCAGATTAGCATATTTCCAGGAAAATTATACATAAGCGCCGACAAATAGACTGACGTTTGCAAGCTACACATCAAATCTGTGCATGTTACTTTCTTAGAGTACTTTAACAAATGGTCCAGTATGAGCACACACTGAGACAAAAGGATTTGTAAGGCAACCAATGAAAAATACCAAATCCATAATGCTGACACTGACAATTCAGGTCAAGCATAAGTGATAGCTTACCAAATCACTGCATTTAAGAACTCCCCACAGCTGTCTCCAGATGTCAATATTCTTCTCGTATGGGGTAAAGACAAGATTATAATCCTGCTCCACTCTGCAGAGGACATTGCTAATCAGACTTACATACTCTAAGCATTAAATTGAAGGAATGGTGCTTCAAAATGCACTAAGCACTCCATGTCACATTTTACAACCAACACATACTGTTATGTCTAAGAATGTAAGCCACATATTTAGATTATCCAGATGATAAATCTGTGACATAAAAGGTCCAAAAATAACCAAGCAATATACACGATAATGTCATCTTCAATCTCATAGGTTCACTTAACCCATGCGATACTTAGCCCCCCAAACATGTACTTCTACACGAAAATACGGTTCCACTAAACATTTCTAAGCACAAAAACAGCTGAGTAAGTAAAAGCATCTGAACCCAACCTCACAAGTTTCTTTCGCCACATCAGGAAATCCCACCGCTCATAAGCATCAAGCTCCTCACCGGTGATCTGACTATCACACGGCAATCTGCAACTACAATCACAGACACAGGATTCCTAATCCAGGAACAATTGCAAACAACACACAAACAGCAACGCGATCAGAAATATACTCACGGCCTAGGGACAATGGGGATGGTGGCGAGAAGCGCTTCCAGCTCCTTCCGCAGCGCCCGCCTCTCGTCGTCCGTCTCCCCCATCGCATCCCTGTGCGTGCGCGCAACCAACCCAACCCGATTAGCATCCACAACGAGGGAAAACGCAAATTTAGCAGCACCGACATCACGAGAGGCGGGAGTTCATTTTCCCCCACGGAGGACGGTGGGGGAGGGAGGCGGGAGCTCACGGCGGGTCGATGAGGAGGTGAGTGTTGTCGGAGGAGACGGACGCCACCACAGCGAGCTGGTTGGCCCCCGCGGCCCGCTGCAGCACGGCGTCCACGTCGCTGATGTCGAGCGGCATCGAGCGCGCGAAGGGAAGCGCCTCGCCCCTCTCCGTGGCTGTCGCCCCCATCGGCGCGCCCCCGAGCCTCTCGCTCTTCGCCTTCTCCTCGCCGCCCGCCATCACTTCGCGCCCGCGGCCGATTCCCAAACCCCTGCGAGACGCCAGCAGTGGGTGGGAAGCCGTACTTGATTGAAGGATTTGGGGGGAGACAGATGCGATAGAGGAGGAGGGAGGGAGATAAGAAGACTCACCTGCGGGCAGACGAGGGGCGGACGAGGTCGCCTCTCCGAGAGCGTCGGAGGCGAGGTCGCCTCTCCTACCAGAGAGCGTCGGAGGGGAGGGGCGGAGCGGCGAGGTCAATCGGGAAAGGGGGATATCAGACGCGACTCCCAAAAATTGAACAGCGACGCCGATATCCGGATCCCATGTGACAGAGACACAGAGCAATTAGCACAGATCAAGCGATCTATTCTTCATCTTACGATCAGAAGATTTACGTGCCAACAAACAAGAAACACGCATGTCCTGTAGCATTCCTGAACATTTTTAGTTTATTTCGAAGCCGACGTCGATCGCCGTAGCACCTACTGTTGGACAGTGAAGCTGGGAGGAACGTGGAGTCAAACGCTTCTGAAACCATGGGAAACAAAGAAGCGTTATTAGTAGTACTCAGTTCGCTGAAACCGCACGAGGTGAAGTGGCGTGTGCTCATGGCAAATCTGTCGCCGAAGACTCGGCATGTCGGCATGGATCGGTAATGGGCGGCAACCTACGGGTACCACGGTTGCAACAATGGTCAGTCTCAGTCGGCCCATGAGAAACACGGCTCTGTTTCTGTTAGCTAGACAATTTTATCCAACACAAACAAATGGTGCTACATCTGTTAGCACGTAGGATTAGGAATTGGGAATGCGTAAACAAATGAGTTTCTGATCGATGCATTCTGTAACCTCTCGTTCTTATTCGTTTTGATTTTGAGATATTGATGAAGACGACTCCAGACCATGCACAGGGAGACTGCATAAGTTGGGTGAAATACTCTGCGCCAGCATTTTTTGGATCGCTGTTTATTGGAGCTTCAGTTTCCGGCACTTACGGCATACGCTATGCAAAGCTAGACCCGTAGGGTGGATAACCAAATATCAGAATCTGGCGATGACAAGAGTAGATTCAGTGTTACCGGCTTAAAAACGTTACAACAAAACCAGCACGTAGCCTCAAACAGGATGGAGCACAGGCATCTAATTACTGACAGCACTAGGTAACATTTAACTGGTCACAAACCATGTTCTTTTAGTTTAGAGTACGCATAGCCAAAATAACTGATTCGAACTAGACACACGCACCGACACAGTTCACACAGCACGGGCACATTATTTACATTCGTCAACGCCAATAAGGCGCAAGCTTATTTTGGCGAAAGTTTTTACCATCCACCACTGCCAGTATCAACCCTTGTTGCCGTTCCATGCACCATCTGCCGCTTTATCCCAGGAACTGCCACCACCCCCTCCTTGGCTCCCGCTCCCCTGGCCACCTTTGCCCCATGGATCGACCTCTTTCTTGGGAGGAGCTTCTGACCCACCACCCCATGAAGGCTTCTCTTTGGCTGATCCTCCCGATGAGTTCCAGTTATCCTCGTTGCTCTTTCCCCAAGAACCTCCGCCGCCAGCTCCTCCACTGGGAGCACCCCAAGCGCTTGACTTGTTAGCATCACCACTTGGCTGACCCAGGATAGATGGAGATGATCTGTTCTGACCCCAGGAGTTGTTTGCATCACTCTTTCCTGCCTGATCATCTCCACCAGAGGTGTTTTGCGCTTCCCAGCTGGGCTTGCTTTTCGAACCACTTGGCTGACCGAGGATAGATGGAGATCTGTTCTGACTCCAGGAGTTGTTTGCATCACTCTTTCCTGCCCAATCATCTCCACCAGAGGTGTTTTGTGCTTCCCAGCTGGGCTTGCTTTTCGAGAAAGCTTTGTTGGCATTCCAGTCGGAAGACTGAGACCAGCCACCACCTTGACCAAAGGGCTTTCTTTCATTGTTGTCGTTCCAGTTCCTGTAACCACCGCGGCCACCATTTCCCCTGCCAGAGCCCCAGCTACCACCATCTCCCCTGCCAGAGCCCCAGCTGCCACCATCTCCCCTGCCAGAGCCCCAGCTGCCACCATCTCCTGACCCAAAGTTGTTGTCTTGATTAGGGTCACCTCGCCCAAAGCGACCTCTGCCTCTTCCTCTGCCACCATCAAAATCCCTTCTGTTCCATAGCTCTCCAGACCTTCCACCACCTGATTCATCATTTCTATTGCCTTCATTCCATGATGATCCACCACCATCCCCAAAATTCCTTCCTCTCCCTCTGCCTCGATTTCCACGTCCAAATCCACCTCTATTATTTCCATTGTCATCATCACCAAACCTTGGGTTGTTCCAAGTAGGTTCCTGATCCCCCAAAGAGAAATTAGGTTTGCTCCAAGAAGATTCCTGATTCCCACCTGACGATCCAGCACCCCAGGTGTCAGTTTTCTTGCTGTCATCATTACCCCCCTTACTATTCCAGGGATCATCAGCCTTTTCCTTAGATGGAGTGTCCTTTGCTGTTGTGTTCCAGCTACCATTCTTGTCATCAGCACCCACAGTAGAAGACATCTTGCTGGCCCAAGGATCATTTTCTTGTTCTTTACCTACAAAAATAAAATAAAAGCTCAACAAGAGACCCAGAACAGATAACACTGCTGTTCAGCTTAAAATGGTCCAGCCGAGTGACCAAATGCCAACCATTCAGATAGTCTCTTGAGTACCTTCATTAGAACCAATCTTGTTTGCCCATGGATCATTCTGTAGTCCTTCACCTACACATGACAACGTAAATAAGATCTATGTAATAACTACATCTACAAGTACGTAGAATAAGAAATTTGCTTGGCTCAACGCTACCAGCATTTTCCCACTTACCCCCATCATTGCAGGAAGAGTCTTTCGCCTTGGTGTCCCAGCCACCACTGGTATCCTCAGCACCACCAGAAGTCATCTTACTTGACCAAGGATTATTCTGTTGTTCTTTACCTGCAAAGAGCCCCCAAGACAGCAAGTGAATTAGGAAGCTCAGAGGAAAACTACAGATAGAACCACTAAACAGAGAGGGGAAAATTTTTCTCTGATTGCTTCTCAATCACCTTCAGTAGAAGACACCTTGCTTGCCCAAGGATCACCTTGTTCACCTACACAAGAGTGATACAAATAAATGCTATGTAGCATAAAATGGACGGCGAGAATGACAATTATTTGATTATAATATTGATAGCTCTCAGCTTGGAGGACCAGTTTGTGCTTTGCACAAATTTAAAATGTAATAAAAGAAGCAGCTGGAGCCTTAGGCAAATCAAGAAATTTGAGAAGCATGTTTGAGTTGCCATTTAGAAATAGTTGCTTGAAGCTTTAACAGGGAAACTAGAGGTACAAATTAAACAGGTTTACTGACCTACAGATGGTTTGTTATCCTCTGAATTATTCCAAGTCGAAGGCTGATTTTGACCATATGACTTGGTGCCTCCACTGCTACTCCAGGGCTGGTTACTTGGTGGATTTGTAGCGTTCCAATTACCTCCACCACCCCATTTTGGTCCATCACCACTGTTCTCTTCCCTTCCAAACACAGAATCGCTTCTATCACCATTTCTCCAACCATTGTCTCTCCCTCTCCCTCGTCCTCCATATTGCCCCCTTCCTCCTCTTCCCCTTCCCCTACATCCACCAGAATCTCCAGCTTCATTGTCTACCTGATTATCAGACCTCCAAGAGGGTCTTTCAGCATTGTCACCACCCCATGAATTCTTCCAACTTCCTTGATCATTTCTGCCATTGAAATCTCCAGATTCCTGGCCCCTACCTCCCCCTCGTCCTTGCCCAAAGCCACGTCCACCTCCAAAATTTCCAGGCCTGTTCCAACTGCTATTCTGATCATCACCCTTGTTCCAACCATCACCACCAAAAGATTTCGGTTTATCCCAACTGCTGTCACCAGCTTGGTCTGAAGCTCCGGCTTTGTTCCAATTTCCAATTTCATTGTTTGTTTCTTCAGATTTAGCAGATGACCAGTTTCCTTTGCCCCAAACTTCATCATGTGCATCAGCCACAACAGATGATTTATTCCAGTTGGCAGCAGAAGCATCCCAACCTCCTGCGCCACCTGCTCCATCACAAGTGCTGTCTTTTGACTTGCCCCAGGTACCATCTTCAGTGACAGGCAAAGAACTGCCCCAAGCCCTATTGTTGTCCACATCTTTAGAAACATTGTCTTTTGTTTGGTCTTCAGTTGAGTTGCCCTTAGGTCGGCCCCATCCTTGACTGACATCCTCCAGCTTACTGTCTGGAGGCACTGTAGCCTTTTCCCAGCTATTTGGTCCTTCCATATCTACTGCCTTGACCTTGCTTCCCCAAGGGTCTGTGTCAGCTCCAGTTCCCATTTCCATAACCCTGCAAGCCTCTCCCCAGTTGTCACTCTTTTCACTCTCCTTATTGACAACCGCTCTGTCCCAGGAGCTGCCAGCAGCATCAGATCCACCAACTACAGCTTGTTTGTCCCATGCATTGCCACTAGAACCTTCCTTTTGAGTGGCACTAGTGTTCCAAACTTCAACAGCTGATGATGTTGCTTTCTTACCCCATGGATCAGAATCACCATCAGCAGAAGACAGCACTTTCTTACCCCATGGATCAGAATCACCAGCAGCAGCAGATACCGCTTCCTTACCCCACGGATCAGAATCACCATCCGTTTTCTTACCATATGGATCAGAATCATCTTCAGCAGAAGTTTTCTTACACCATGGGTCAGCTTCTGATTCTCCACCTGAAAATTCAAAAGTTTCACACCCAGCTAAACTGTGAAAACCTCAAATACTGGCAAATGCGCTTAGCCTATTTAATAAGCATAAATGCAATATCTGCAATAGTGCAAGAATCATCGACCTAAATTTCTTTTACTACCTCTGTTTCGTGATGTATGTCCAGGGCCTCGGGAGCATCCATTTCGCAATTTAGGTCCATGTATGATGACTGCTTTCATGGTGCGAGTTCTGGAGTGTGAGTGTATAACTAATCTAAGTAGGACATTTAATT